CATGAGCCCAAATTACCCAGCTCAGCCCTTCCCAAATTCTGCAGCTATTCCCTCTGTGAACGTGAGGCTGAGCAGCAGCTCCTGCTAAACCCCAACTGGCTTTTTTTTCACCCCTCCCTCCCTGAAGAAGCCCGAAATGCCAAAGAACCACAAATAACAATAATAATAAAGAACATACATAAACATTAGTGTCACACACACGGAATTACTGCAGCAGAATTGCTCCTACAGGAAGGAAGGATGGAGCCAAATGCTCTGGCTAGCACACAAATCACGCAGGCTGAGGAGAGGACACGTGTTCCTACAGCACCCAGGGGAAACACAAACACTGAATTACCTTAAAGACGGATGCAAATGTACAGATGTGTTTAAGAGGAATCTGTCCCTGTCCCTGAGAGCAAAACAATGAGACAAAGGAAGAAAGTGATCATGAAGGTGATGGCAGCAGGCAAAGGAGCTCGTGTTTCTGTACCTGAGCAGAGCGGCGTGAGATGGAGGATGGAGCGCTAGGCACGTTGAGCTGCAGCCCTAAGGACAGGCACTGGTAGCACCACAACAACCCCCCCTCCAGCCCCTGTGGCTAGTGAAAGATCCAGGTGGCTACCAGCAGGCTGCTGCTCTCCAGCTCTGCTTTCCTGGGCCCTCTCATTTGGCACCTCGGGGGGTTTTGGGGCTCATCACAGTCCCTGTGCCCCCAGGCGTGTGGCAGCTGAGCTCAGCGTGGGCAGACATGCAAACTGCTCTGCCTTTGCTTGGGTTTGGCTCTGTTCTGACAACATCTACGTGGTACCTGTTCAAAATCTTCCTGGGGCTGGAGAGACAGACATGGAGAACTAGCAGAGACTAAGGGAGCAACGTCACTGGAAAAACCCAACCTGCACCCACGTGGAAGATGATGCTCTAGACCTGGCTGCCCCAGGGGGATCACTGCAGCCTATTTTTCAGCTGCCCTATGGCACTGAGCCCTGGCACTTTCTCAGTGCAAAGCCCCCACCAGGCAGGTACCTCTGGGCTGCTTTGGGGGAGGCTGTTTCTGCTGGGAGACCCGAGTCAACCACTTTTTACCTCCCTCTGCCTCGCCGACACGGACAGCGTGGCCCTAAGGGCAGGGATGGCTCTTTTGCTCCCTTTTTGGGAAGGCTGGAAACAGGGCAGGCTTTCCAACTGCAGATTGATCCCCCATGCAGGAGCTGACAACCACCTTTCATCAGCAGTAATAGCAGCCATAATGGGAAAGTAAATTGGGTCTGTCAAAACACAGCAATTAATTTGATAGGTCGTCGTCGCCATAAATGAGAGTAATAAAATGTGGTGAAGCCAGTGCTGACTCAATTAGGAGAAATCTGGAGCAGGCAGAAGTGTGGCAAACACTGCTAACAGAAACCCAGGACTTTGCTGTGAACACTGAGCAGCTGGGTTCAAAAAATATTCAGCAAAATAAGAATTGCTACACGGGGGCATCTTCAGTGGAGTTCCCTTCTAGCTGTGAACGTGCCTGTCATTTTAACAGCTACCTTTTCAGTGCTACTAAACAAAGCAATAAATAACACCCAGGAGAGGATTTGCTTCTTCCAGGTCTAAGGAGTGCTCAGAAAGCCCCCTCTCCTCCCAGTACTAACTGAAGAACTGTTTCCAATCTCTGGTGCCTCACTGGTGTGCTCTGAAGGAACAAAGTCTGCAGCAAACACAAAAGACCTGCTGCTGTCACAAAGGCTTCTGCACGTGCAGCTGCAGCACGTGGCATTTCCAGGACCAGAGCCCAGCACTCTGCCTGTAGGTAACACAGGGAGAAGTTCCAAAAAGACTCAACCACATCATTTAGTTTCCTCCTCTCCAAATCCCAAAGAGGGAGCTTAAAGGAGAGCTCCATTTTAAGAACCATCAATTAGGCATCAAATACCAGCAAGTGGGCTCAGCTGTCAGATTTCCTGCACAACATTCTCACTATGGGCACAGTTAGAAGAGGCTTGAAGCCTCTGGAGTGGGGCTCTGGCAATTTCACATCCAGCCCAATTAAATCAATTCAATGTGAAACGAGTTTTCTAATTGCTTTTCCTTCTTCTTATCTAGAAACACAACAAGTTATTTTCTACCTATAACCAAGAGAAGCTGTATTACAAAAGATGATTCATCTCTCCCTAAAAGCAGTGCCACCAAGGAGGAGGAGCTGCATGCTGGAGAGCTGGGAACTTGTGGCTCGTTTTCCTCTCAGCTCCTGGTGGGGCAACCACACGGGGCACTGCCCTGCTGGCAGGTCCCACTTTTGGGGTCCCCTGTCCAGCTACAGGGGTAGAAACGGTGCCTGACATGCAGAAACTCTGCAGAGCCTTTCTGCTACAACAATATTCTCTGTTCCTGCTGGGTCCTAGAAATTTAGAGTCATTCAGGCTCACTCAAAACTTCATTTTAACTCACACAGCACCGTTGATAACGTTGGCACTGATGGTATATTTTACATGTGTATTAAGGGTGGTTTTATTAGAGAACAACCCACTATGAATTAACTGGATGAGCTTAGTGTCTAGCTCTGCTTGCCCCTGTGGAAATAACACTGTAATCAAGTGATAACTCCCTGAGTAATGAACATTCCCATTCAAACTCGGCTCGTTTAATATCAGTGTCATTAGATTCAACAAATCCATTTAAATTTGAAGTGATTTTCATCAGATTCAACCCATGTAGCACTTTTCAAAGTATGATATAATAATCCACGTTCCTTAGAAAGAAGCATCCCTGCTGTAGTGTTTAATATGCCACGTTATTTGTTGAAGAGATTCAGCCAATGTCTTTCTATTAAACAGAAGGGTTTCAAGATGGGTTCACAAAGCTCCAGCTGAGCAGGAATTAATTTAGGACAAAGTCAATTGTTACTGCCAAAAATTGGCTCTGATGGCACGAGACTGAGAAATTAAGTTCAGGGGTTAGAGCAGGGGAGAAGTGGCTCATTCTAAGACCATTCACTTTTTCTTTTGGGGCATCTCTAAGCACTTACACTGCTGGGCAGAGGCCAACCCAGCCTGGCCACAGCTCTGTCCCTGAGCTGACATGCTCTGGTAAAACCAGAGCCACAACAGTGGACATCACACCCAGCTCTCTAAAACCTTTTAGTAGTCCTGTCCAAGGTGACTGAGACCAGACATGGGGCTAAAGAGGCTGTTTCTGTAGAAGCTGACAAAAATCAGGCTAAAAACTTTACAAAGGAGACCAAAGGCAAAAGGGAGAATTACAGATTGTCTTGAAGGTCTAAAAAGATTTTTCAGTGGGATTAGACACTGCTAATGTGGCTAAGCAGAAATTTCACAGCTCCATTAGATCAAATGAGCTTGACTTATGCTGAGCAGATACCAAAGCATCCAGCTCCAGGCAGGAACCAGCCTCAGCATCAGGGTTAAGAAGTTTTCCCCCACCAGCTGGGCTAAGCTAGTGACATGGGCTTTCAAGCATCTCAAATGGAGGTGGAAGGAAACAGGTCTCTTTTGGAAACAGTTTCAAGGTGCTACAACAGCAGAATACCCTGAAATATCCATCAGGCAGAGCTTGAAAAGCAGAAATCCTGCCTTGCTCTGAACCAGCCATCCTGGACAGTGGGAGGCATAGGACACATTTTTCTTCAGATTTAGTCAAAGTTCTCCCATCTGAGAGCAATGCAACACAGTGACCAGGAGTGACAGTGAAGGTACAGGCAGGGATGTGTGTCAAATTAGCAGTGACTCATTTGGAAGACAAGGAGCCAAGGGAAGCAAATGAGGATAAATCCCTTGTGCTAAGCTGGCAGAGGAGGCATGACTGCCACGCTCCTTGGGAATGTGCCCACAGCAGCACCCCTCTGTGGGTGTTAAACTGCTGTCTAACTGGTCCTGGACCCCAAGGCAAAGCTTTTACTGAAGTCTCTGATGCACAATTGGGCCCTAATGCATCAGCATCCTTAATGAGCTGGGACCTTAAATCCCCACACACCCTCCTCTGTCTGCAGGGAGACTCAGCACGCCCTCGTGGGAGTCTGCCAGGCATGGTACTGGGATTTTGGGTGGAAAAGGATCATTCTGAGACAACCCAGCACTGTGTGACCTGCAGCCTTACAGATTCTGCAGGGGGAGAAGGTGAAAATAACTGTCCCAGGTCAGGCTACTGGTCCAGCTGTCAGTGACTGGAGTGATGGCCCTGAATCCTGGCTCTGGAAGGGATGGGCAACCAACATGAGGGAGGAAAAACAGGAGCCAAGTAAAGGACAGAGGAATTCTGCCCCCATCCCTGTACATTCAGATCTTTGTGTTTAAAATTTGTTAATGAGTCTAATAGCAATTAGCTTGTCTACTCCCTTTTTAATCCCAATACAGCCATTTATATCCAACCTCCAAAAAATTCCACTGCAATGTGTTCCACAGCTGGGTGTGTAGACAGTGCTTTATGTCTTCTCCAGTGAAACAGCAATGTCAAGGTGTTCTCTGCCTGCTCATGCACCTCCACAGTGCCTCTGCACAGCCCTGGGCCCCAGACAAACCTCATCAGCTCATTTCCAGCATATAAAACATGCACATCTGGCATCTGTTCTGCTGTCCATGAGAAGGAGAGAAGAATTAAAGCCTCCAATACCTATCTAGACTAGGCACTTATTTCACCAACCTCTAAGGAACCTTTAATCCCAGTGTTTTATAAACTAAGAGCTTAAACCCCAGACTTAATTTAGCATCTTATGTGTGTTCAGGCCAAACCCATCTCACAGAGAGAACTTCACCTGTAAGAAGTGCCCTTGGGCTGCTTTGCTGTGTTGTGTTTGAACCCTAGAGGGCTGGAGGCAGATCTGAACCCCCCCCCCTGAGGCAGCAGAGCTGTGCATACGTACATGAGCAGGTTCCCTGGGGCAGACATGGACCTCTCCTCCCTCCTGCTCTGAGCCTCAAAGGGGTTCCCAAAGGAGCGTTTCCTGAGCATGGCCTTCACCAGGATCTTGGAGGAAGGAGAGAACAGTGAGAGGAGCAGGGCTGACCCATCCCCTCCCCAAAGCCAGTTCAAAGGGGTCTAACAACGGCTTCTTTAACAATTCAACAGACATTTAACAGCTCTGCAGCCCTTAGGGCATGAGCCAGAGAAACCCACCAACAGCTCTGGGACTCCTGGGCAGCCAGCTCAGGTCCCTGGGTGCCAACCACTGCTGGGGAGCAGGGAAGGAGATGCTGCTGACCACTGCCTGCCACTCGTGGTGGTCCAAGCCCAGAGAAGGAGGCACCAGAGCTCTCCTGGGCCATCCCCCCAGGCAAGCACTGCCCAGGGAGTGGTGCTGCTGGCTCTGCTCAAAGGCAAAGCTCCTGCTATGAAGGGCAGAGGATGGATTTTGCTCCCCCAGCTGGCTGCTGGGGCAGATATTTACATTAACTTCATACCCTGAGAGCTGTGAAAACAGGTCCTTGTGCTCAGCACCTCTCTCCCCAGGAGGAACCCCCCAGAATCACCTGGATCACAGTAACTGCCCATGGCAGACACACAGACTGCCAAGAGAGCCCCTCAGCACCCTCCTGTGGTTCCCCCAAGGCTGGCAGGCAAGTGCCAGCTGTACACTCTGTGCCACATGTCCTCTCCCTGCCAGGACAGGCCATTTCTGGCCAGGACACCCCTCCTCTCTGGCCAGGTCATCTCCAGGTTTGGAGCTCTCATTCTGAAGATCCAAATGAGTATGTCTCACAACCTCCAGATTAAAGAAACAACCCACACTTGGGGTGCTTCTGGTGTTCCAGGATGTCTGATACTCTTTGGAGGTGTGACAGGCCATGAGAGCAGCCAGACAGGACTGCTCACACGGCCAGGCCCTGCAGAGTCAGGCTGCTGCAGTACCCAGAGACACAAGAAGAAGTTCATAAGAAGCTCACCAGAAGGGCTACAAGGCTGAACTCTCCATACCAGGAGCCCACGTGTACCCCTCCCCAAACCTCCTCCCAATCCAGCCCAACACCAATCTCCTGACCCGGGGGGAGGGTGTGGTTGGTACCTACCACGGCTGGCAAGCTCGGGATGGTCTTCACAGAGTTCTTCACCTCCTCCTCAGTGACCTCCACCACGGAGCAGTGCTCCTCCTCCCGTGGCAGCGGCTGCTCGCCGCCCCGCGTCACCCAGGGGTGCACCTGCAGGGGGGACAGGGGCACAGCTCTGGCCTCCCCTCCCCAGCACTGAGCCTTAGCTGTGGGCATGGGGGACACAGGGCTGGTGCTGGGGAGGGCTGCTGGTGCTGCAGGAGGGGTCCTTGGGAGCCACAGAACCAGGGGAGTGTTAAGGTTGGAGAAGACCTCGGAGATCGTCAGGTCCAACCATCACCCAGCACTCCTGTGGCTGTTAAAACATCTCCCCAGGTGCCATGGCTACATGTGTTTTGAAGCCCTCCAGGGCTGGGGACTCCAGCACCTCCCTGGGCAGCCTGGGCCAAGGCCTCACTGCTCTGTCAGGGAAGAAATTCTCCTGAATATCCAACTGAAACCTCCCCTGGTGCAACTTCAGCCCATTGCCTCTTGTCCTATCATTAGTTACTTGGGAGAAGAGACCAACCCCCACCTCCC